AAAAATAGTAACAAAATTCATCTGGAAGAACAAAATGTCAAGAATAGTAAGGGAATCAATGAGAAAAACAATGTTAAGGAAGGTGGACCAGCAGTTCCAGATTTCAAACTATGTTACAAAGTGGTAATCATCAACACAATCTGTTACTGGCTAAGAAAAAGAGTGGTGGAGCAGTGCAATAGATTAGGTCAGTAGTGAATGACCAAAGTAATCTAGTGTCTGAGAAGTCCAAAGATCGGAGCTTTGGGCATAAGAACTCACGATCTGACAAAAATTGCTGGGAAAATTGGAAAACAACAAGCCAGAAACTAGGCATAGACCAATATCTCACACTGTATACCAAGATAAGGTCAAAATGAATAATAGACATAAAGGGTGATATCATAAATAAATTAGGGGAGCATGGGAAAATGTACTTGTCAGATCCATATGAATAAGGGGAGAGATTATGACCAAATAAGAGATAGAAGGGATTACAGGAAGTGAAATATTTTGATTTTATGAAATTAAAATGCTTTTGCACAAATAATACGGTCAAAATTAGAAGGAAAACAGGAAACTGGGGAAAAAACTTACAGCAAATTTCTCTGACAAAGGCCTAATTTCTCAAATATATAGAGAATTGAACCAAATTTATAAAAATAAGAGCCACTCCCCAGTTGATAAATGGTCAAAGGATATGAATAGGTAATTTTTAGAAGAGGAAATCAAAGCTATCAATAGTCACATGAAAAATGCTCTAAATCACTACTGATTAGAGAAATGCAAATTAAAATAACTTTAAAATACTATCTCATACCTATCAGGTTGACTAACATGACATAAAAGGACAATGAAAGATTCTGGAAGAGAAAATCGAGACGCTAATGCATTGTTGGTGGAATTGTGAACTGATCCAACCATCCTGGAGAACAATTTGGAACTATGCCCAAAGGGCTATAAAACCATTATAATACCCTTTGACCCAGCAATACCACTACTAGGTCTGTATCCCAGATATTTTTTAAGGGAATTTTTTTAAATTAAAAAAAAAATTTTTTTTTAATTTAAAAAAAAGATTTTTTTTTTAAAGAGGAAAAGAACCTATATGTACAAAGTTATTTATAGCAGCTCTTTCTGTGGAAGTAAAGAATTGGAAATTGATGGGATGCCCATCAATTGGGGAATGACTGAACAAGTTTTAATATATAATTGTGAAGGAATATTATTGTGCTATAAGAAATGACCAATCATTTCAGAAAAACCCGGAAAGACTTACATGAACTGATGCGTAGTGAAATAAACAGAACCAGGAGAATGTTGTACATAGTAACAGCAATATTGTTCAATGAAGAACTGTGAAAGACTTAGCTATTCTCAGCAATACAATGATCCAAGACAATCTCAAAGGACTAGTGATGAAGCATAATATCTGCCTCCAGAGAAAGAACCAATATTGTCTGAATACAGCCTAAAACATGCTATTTTTAACTTTCTTTCATTTTTTTCTTTTATTCGACTCTTCTTGTACAAAATGATTTATATAGAAATGTGTTACATAATTGCATATGTGTAACCTATATTTAATTGCTTACCATCTCAGGGAGGGGGAAGGAGAGAGAGAAAGAGGGAGGGAGGAATAGAATTTGGAACTCAAAACTTTAAATAAAAATGTTAAAAAAAATTGAAAAAAGAATTATTGGACTATCTGAAAGCCATAACAAAAGAGTCTAGGCATCGTATTTCAAGAAATTATCAAGGAAAATTCCCCTCATATCCTAGAACCATAGGAGTTATTCCCCTTTACGGATGAGGAAACTGAGGCTCTGAGGGGTGTAGTAGTTTACCCAGTTTCAGTGGTAGAGTTGGGACTTGGCCCCAGGTCTTCAGACTCCACATCCAGTACTCCTCCTGTACCATGCTGCCTGTTGAGGATGGTGGCGCCCTTGGCAGAAATAAATACGGTTAGGGGAGAAGATGGGTTCCAATTTGGATGTGTTGAATTTGGGGTGTTCATGGAGTGTTGGTGGAAATGTCCAGAAGGCAGCTGGGAATGCCAGACCGGCATATGGGAGAGCTCGACTTAGATGGTTTCCAACATCTACCATCTAGTTCAATTCAGAGAGTCTGTGGCGCTGAATGACAACTTAAATTGACCAGGAAAGTGATGTTGTCCCTTCAGTTCCTTCATCACACTCCACACAAGATTGAGATTTTTCAGAAGTCAATGGAGTCTGACTAGTGAGACTGATTTAATAGAAGAATGATTTCTATTTTACTTATGTTATAATTACTTCTTCTCTGGAGATGGTGTAGTATGTTGTGAGGGCTGGAGGTGGAATGGCCATAAAGAGAAAATATTTTTGCCAAGTAACTATCTTAAATGACTTTAATTTGATTCCCAATAGGTTGAATCATGTCCCTTTATTCCTAAGAGTTTTACATTAATTGTGCAGTTGATAGTTGAAGCATCTGTGACTTCATCAGCCTTGCTGCCTCCTCTAGGCTCATCTCCACTTGATGACAGCTTTCTCGGACACCAAAGTTCACGTCCCCGTAGCCCTGCTGCTGCAGAGCCTCTCAGGACCTAGCCAGGTTGGGCCACATATGCTTGAGATGTGGTCCATCAAAGCCTTTCCAACTCAACAGGACCAGAGGTCCCCTAGCAGAATCTGCCTTCAAGAATCCTGGATCACTTCCAGGTCAAGAGGGTACCCAAGGAGGACTCCAGTGGAGACCCTTATCCACCTTGTCTGATTCAACTTCTTTCATGGAAGGACTATGTGATAACTCACCCAAACAATGAGATCTCTCCTTCCAATATTTTAGTCACTCAGTCAACAAGCATTTATTAATCTCTTACTGTATGCCAAGCACTGGACAAAATGCTGAGGATACAAGAAAGGCAAAAACAATCTCCGACTACAAGGGGCTCACATTCTAATGGGAGAGACAACATGCAAACAAGATATGTATCATGTAAATGGGAGGTAATTTCAGAAGGAAGTCACTAGCAGTTGAGGGATGGTGACTGGAAAAGACTCGAAGAAAGTAGGATTTGAGTTGAGACTTGAAGGAAGCCAGAGAATCCAGGAAGCAGAGGTGAGGAAAAAGGGCACTTCAGGCGGGGGGGGGGGGGCATCCAGTGCAAAGGTAGGGAGTCAGGAAATTAGCAAGAATGCAGGTGTCACTGGATGGTAGAATGCATGGAAGGGAGTAAATCAGAAGCCTGGAGAGGTAGGAAGAAACAGTGATGCTGGGTGGGGATTGAGTTTGAGGTATGGGGGGTGATGAGGCAGCCCAGTAGAAAGAGTGCTCCATCTCTCCAGAACGTCTGGCTGAGACATTATCAGTAAAGTTCTGGCCTGGGAGTCAATAGAGACCTGGCCTCAATTCCTCTGATCCTCTGGACTGTGGAGCTACAGCTGGAATGACCTTGGAGGCCATATAATGGGGAGAGCATTGGGCTTGGAGTCAGGAAGACCCGAGTTCAAATACGGCCTCAGATGCTTCTTAGTTGTGTGACCCTGGGCAAGTCATTTAACTTCTATTTGCCTCATTTTCTACAACTATAAAATGGGGATAACACCACCACCTACCTCACAGGGTTATTGTGAGGACTGAATGAGATAATAATTGTAAAACACTTAGCACAGTGCTAGGCACATAGTAGACACTCAATAAATGCTTATTTCCTTTCCTCATTCTCTCATTTTACAGTTGAGGAAGCTGAGGCCCAGGGAGTTTAACTGATTTGCCCGTGACCACACTACCAGTAAATATCAGAGGCAAGATTTGAACTCAGGTCCTTCAACTACAGTGTCAATGCTCTGATAATAATACTTCCAGCACCTACTGCACAGGACTCTTGTGAAGATCAAATAACATGATGCGCTCTAGTGTTATATGTTATCTGTTATTAAATCAAACGAGGTAATGTATATACGTCCTTTGCTAACCTTAAAGTTCTATGTAAATGCTAGCTATCTTCATCGTCACCACCACTGTCATCACCACCATCATCATCACTGTCACCTCTTTGAAGGAAAAGCTTTCAAAATAAAGGATGTGATCCATGAAGTGTTAGAATGAAGATGACCTGCTTCCCTGGTGAGAGCAAGCCCTCCAGTGGTCTACCGGAAATGTCAGAAGAAAAGGAGGAAGGCCTCTACAATGTTAGGGAGACTCCCAATGGAGAACTTAGAGGAGGAAGTCGATAAGAGCGTCCCAATGGACAGGCACAGATGGGCTGCAATCTGCCTTGTTGGAGGAAATATTCACGTTGAAGAGATAATCCATTCACTGGGTAGTTGTTATTATTATTATTATTATTATTATTATTATTATATTCTCTTTCATACCTTTTTCAATGAGCTTCAGATAGACATGGACCTGGGACAAGTGATTGATATTTTTATATTTAATGTTCCACAGATTAATAAATAAATTAATAAATAAAATATGGATAAAATCACTGCTTTTTTTACAAGTAAATAAAGGCACTAGATCGATGTCATCTCTGCAGGCTCATTGCAAGCAGCCCCACCATGCTATGTCACAGGATGATGGAGACCAGATGCCTCTGACCATTCGCATACGCTTTTGAACACTTTTGCTAGGTCTTTCTACTGATTAATTTATCTTTATAATGATTGCTGTTTCCATTTTAGGATCATGGAATCGAGGGCATGGATTTAGAGCTAGAAGCAACCTTTGAGGTCTACTCCAGCTCCCTCATTTTTCAGTTGATGAAACTGAGACTCGAGTTAAGTGACTTGTTCAAGGCCACATGGGTTGCAGGTGGAAGAACTAGACTTTGAATTCAAGTTCTTTCAACTACAAATCTTTGTAATAACGAACTAACAAATTCATATTATAATCATGCGAATTCAGTGTCAAGTTGTACAAAGCAAAGTTGCGTAGCAAGAAAGGCATTTTATATGAAAGGTTTGTTAAAGAAGTAAACCATCAGTAAGGTTAATTGTATAGTCAATCAATTTAATTATTTTACTCTATCCTAAGTAGTTTGCACACCACTGCAGGAGTGTTTCCATGTTCTCTATCCTCCTCCTTAGTCAACAGCCATTATCATCCTCTTCATTCTTCGGACCTTTTGTATGTGTGTCATTCTTGCCTCCTTTAGTTGGTGGGCATGGAGAACCATATTCTTTTACTGCTGTGGCTGCTGAACCAAGGAGAGAAGGATTCACCCATTTTAGCACAGGACTAGAAAGTGGCTCTGTGATAAAGATAAAAAAAAGAAAAAGACCTATTCGTACAAAAATATTGGCAGCAGCTCTTTCGTGGGGGCAAAGAATTGGACGTCGAAGCTGAACAAGCTGTGGTATATGATTGTGATGGAATACTATTGTGCTGTAAGAAATGAAGAGCAGGCAGATTTTAGGAAAACCTGGAAAGACTTACATGAACTGATGCAGAGTGAAGTGAGCAGAACCAGGAGAACATTGTACACAGTAACAGCAATTTGGTACGATAATAGGTTGTAAATGACTTAGCTCTTCTCAGCAATACAATGATCCAAGACAATCCCAGAGGACTCATGATGAAAAATGCTGTCCACCTCCAGGAAAAAGAACTGATGGAGTCTGAATGCAGACTAAAGCAGACTATTTTTCACTTATTTTGTTCGAGTTTTCTTTAACAAAATGACTAATATGGAAATACATTTTACAAGATGAACATGTATATCCTATATCAGTTTGCTTACCATCTCAGGGAGGGGGGGAAGAAAGGGAGGGAAGGAGAGAATTCAGAAGTCAAAATAAAAAAAAATAACCAAATGTTGAAAATTGCTTTTACATGTAATTGGGGGAAAATATTATTTTTTATAAAAAAAGAAAGAGGATCTGGGACTTCCTGCACAGAAGGACTCTAACTTTGTCTTCATCTCTCTCTAGGCAGGGTCTAGGGTTCTCATAAACCTAGGACAGTCACCAGAGTGTTCTGTTTTCTCCCCCCATTGTTAAGGCTTTTTGACCTTTTGGGAGACTGGTCAAGGGTAGACCATCTTCCTGCCTCTCCCTCTCCCCAGGCCTGGGCTTCATGATCTTGAGAATAGCAAAGAGAACCCTGGTTTCCTTTCCATCCCCCTAGGTTCTCCCCACCCTCAGCTCATCTGGTTTCATTAACTGAGAAGGGAAATGCTTGGCTGTCTTCCTTCCTGCCCCCATCAATATTTATACACACCCCAGGCAGTATTTTGTGATTCAAATAGGCTTTTCTTGAAAAACAAAGGGACCAACCTTAAATCTTTGAAAGGCAGTTAACCAATTTTTGCATTTTATGAGTGAAAATAATCCTTTCCCTTTTCTAGAAATCATTTTACAATCTGGGTGACTGGTGAGCCCGAGGAGGCGTGTGACAAACAGGGGAATGCAGAGGGCCACTGTGCAATCTGTTGCCCTGTAGTAAATCCTGGTGATGTGGCAGCCAGGCTGGGGGCCTCAGGAAGCAAGATTGATCCCCTCTGGGTTCACCAAGGAGTCTTCATTGCTGATTGCTGGGAAACCGGAGAGGGTGTGGGATGGAGTCTCAGCTGAAAACTGACAGGAGTGGAGGGGGTAGATGGAGGGAGAATGAAAATATTACGAGCATATAGGCAGGTAGGAAGACCAAGTGATTGTGAGTGGAGGCAAAAAATGGAGGAGGTCTGAGCTGAGGGTTTACTCAGGCAAGCTGGCAACAACAAATCTCAGGGATGGTGGGCGTGGGGGATGGAAAGCTGCCCATGGGATAGGGTCAGGATGGGGAAGGGTTGGGAGGTCAACGGCCAAAGAGGACAGGGAGAAGGGACAGTCAGGCCTGCCAAGGGGGCTGGCAAAATATGCATAGTTAAGAAGAAAGAAGAAGTTCTGGGGTCTAAATTTGAGTTTGACAGGGAGGAGAAGGATGAAAAGGGAAGAAAAAGGACAGAAAGTCTAGAATATTCTGCTTTTTTTACCCCCTTCCTTTTCCCTTTTATCCTTTGATCTATAAATTATCCTTCCTCTTCTTCCTCCTATTCTCTTCCTCCCTTCCCTCTTCCCTTCTTTTCTTCCTTTTCTTCTTTCATTTCTTTCATCTGTCTCTCTCTCTCTCTCTCCCTTCCTCTCTAGATTTGGGCTCAAGTATCACCTCTGATGCCTACTTGCAATGTCATCCTGGGCAAGTCTCTTAACATTGTCATGCTTTAGGCAGAGAAAATGCCAGCCTTCACTGGCCAAGGAAATTTCCTTCACCCAGGAGTTCCTGACATCAGTAAAATTGAAGCTCCACACTCTCTCAGTCCCTTTTCCTTATATAATGACAATAACATTCACTTGGGAAGTTATTCCCCAGTGGATAAACTTCATTTTCTAGAGTCTGAGTTGGTGCAAGATTAAGTATTTGCCGAGCCTCTGGACCAACAAATGGGGTTGTAAGGTGGAGATGTACACACAACGCTCAGGGCATCATTCACAATCAGTGAGGAAGGGGAAATGGAAAGAGGCCTAATCATTGTCCCCATTCTCAGATGATAAATAGACTCTTTATGATCACAATAGTATTAAGTAGGGCATTTTCCTCCCAAGGAGAGGTTTTGGTTTTGGCTGCCTGCTGGGAGAAGGAAAGGTTCTTCTTTCTCCTAGAATCACAGAATAATGAACTTGAGGGCCGGCTGGGACCTCAGGGGTCATCCGTCTGTGGAGCTCAGAGAAGGAAGTGACTGGTCCAGGGTAACACAAGTGCTCTGCAAGTCATCCACTCTTCCTTCCATGAAGCTATTATAGAGAATTGGTGATGGGTCATTAAGGCTGTCCTGACTGTCACCTGGGAAATGAGTTCTGGGAACTGGACACATTTTGATTGAAATAGGTAAGACTGTGAAGGCAGCCGTGGGTCCCGGAAAGGGAAAAGGAATGACAAAATCTCAATAGAGGGATGCATCCCACAAGTTTGCTTCAGGACCAGAAGAGATGTGAATGGACACAGATATGACCATCCTTATCTAAAACCAACCTGAGTACAACAAGGAAACAAAACACAAAAAGGTCATAATATATGTGTCTCCTAGGATTCATATGCAATGAGAAAAAGGAGAAGTCAATTCAATCAACCACCATGTGTGCAGTGTACTGGAGACACAAAGTGAGAAGTGAAACATCTTTGCCCTCAAGGTGTTTACATTCCACTGGGCAGCTTATCACCTCCCCCCACCTCCACATGCACACACTGAGTGATGTAATGACCTTGAAAGGGCTGTGCTTCTGCCTTTGTGTCCCTAGAGGTCATCCGTAGTGCCTGGCCCAGAGCTGGAAATTAGTCAGTGTTCCTGAAATTGAACTGAACCATCAGTGAATGGCAGTCCCCTTTTCCTGCACTGAGCTCAGACAGCCACTGCCAGAGTCCATGGGGGACAATAACAATCCCCTTCTTGAACTACTGAATGTTAGCTGTTTGACTTTGCAGTTCCAAAACTGAATGCTCAAGATGGATTTTTCAGGTCTCTGGCTATAAGCCACCTGCTTTCTGTTAGAGAATAAAATTGTTTCAAATAATTATTTTAAATGACATTTGTGCAGTACTTTTAGTTTGGCAACACACTTTATGCCCATGATGTCATGTGAGCCTCATAATAACCCCGGAAGGCAGGCCCAATAGTATTCATAATATCACGATTTACTGACGAGGAAACTGCCTTAAAGAGATTGGCTCCTGGTCACTAGCTGCTAAATGTCAGAAGCAGGATTTGAATTCAGCTCTTTCTGACTCTGGGTTCAACCTGGGCAAAACTATTTCACAAGAACTGTGTGACTTTGGGCAAATCACTTAACCTCTCAATGCTGGAGGCCACTCTCTAAGCCTGTAGTTTGCAAATGAGTAATAGACCTGTGTTATTGGAGAGAGTTTTCTCACCTGGGCATTCCCTATGCTGAAGAAACCAGTCCCTGTCTCTAACCCCATATAATAAAAATGACATAGGTCATATGAGAGTTTTTGTGGGAAGTCCACACAAGTCTCGAGCTGGAAGGGACCTCAGAAGTCTCTTCATTACACGGATAAGGAACCTGAGACCCAGGGAGATGAAGTGATTTGCTCAGGTGTCTGAAGTGGGATCTAAACTTTGGACTTCTGAAGGAAGAGCCCATAGTCTTTTTGATCTGGACACGTTTCTCTTGGGTCTCGACTGAAGGAATCTGCCTCCCCCTCTGCAATGTGAGCTGCAGGTTGCACAGGAGGGGCTGGGTGGTGGAGAGGGAGAGTCAGGGTGTGTGCATAGTGGTGGTGGTGGGGGGGACCCAATGAGTAAAACAAAATGGATTATGAATTTGAAAATTGCCAATTATGTTGTATCACACAGCTCAGAGCGTTGGCACAAAGATAGGGCACAATCCAGATTTTTCAGCTTAAATGGCTTTACATTCAAGCAAGCAAATTAACCATAAAATGGGGGGGGGGGGACACACACAAAATATCCCAAGGAAGAATAAACTGCAGATAATAAGCACCAATCTGGTGTTGAATGCAGCCCAAGACACCAATTGTTTTAAGTCACGACAAAGACAGCTGAATGCTCATCTTGCTGCTGCCGAGCACGGATGATTGCCTGCCATGAGTATCTTCCCTCACAAATAACAGTTTTTTCGCTCTTAATTTTCTGCTAAATTGGAAGCTAACTGCTCCGCACATTGTCATTGGAACACCTGCAGCTGTAGTGGATTTCCGCACCCCGTTTCTTGGAGGTAAAACAGCTTCCTTGCTCGTCATTATGGGGCTGTCTGCCTTTCATTGTGCCCCGGCGCTAATGATTCAGGCAGGCTGGTCAGTCATTAAGTGTCAGGCAAATGATAGCGTGTGCACCGTGTGACTAATGGGCCCGCACAAGTGAAATCACAGAGGCGCAGTGCCCATCACTCACTTCCCCAACAGCCCCAGTGTGGCGCGCGGCGGGGAGTCCAGTTAAAACCAGCCTTGTAAAATACATTTCCTGCTTGATGCTCTGGAGCCTGTGCCCAGAGAGTGAAAGTGAGGCTGGGGTGGAGGGAGAAGGGAGAATGAACGGGGAGGGGGAGCCGAGCCCAGCCCGCTCAGCAGAGCTGGCACCAGGGCGCAGATGGGGCCATGCGCGTCGACCAAGCCTCAGCTTGGCCCTCTCTCTTGTGGCTGGAGCCACGGCCAGTGAAGGCCCCGGGAAGAGAGCTCCCCAAATCTCTATTTAAAATATGGAAGTCAGAGGCCATCGTCCACACTGGCACGGATTGATGGGGAGCTCACGGCAGGAGCATTAGCAGAGGGAGGGGAAGAAGGAGGGTTTCTTAATTGGCAATGGGCGAGCTCCGCGCGCATTGAGGAGAGACAGGAAGACCTGGGCTCCAGGTCCACTTTTGACATGGACTGGCTGCAGGATCCTGAATAAGTCACTTGTCAACGATGTATCACAGAGAAGATGCTGACCTTGCAAGAGGAAATTCCTCCTCAGGTGCTCCCCAACCTTCAGAAAACCACAGCTCTAGCTCCTACCCTCACGCAGACCCCATGCTGGGCAATTAAGGTATAATGACAGTTCCCGCCCTCAAGAAGCTTCCATGTATCCTCTAATAGCACATTCGAGCATTGGGGCAACCAGTATTGATTAATTATTAACTACTGGTCAGGCATGGGCTGAGTGTTAGGGATATAGAGAAAATTCAAGGACAGACCCTGTCCTCAAGGAGCTTACATTCTGACAGAGGAACCAACAGGCACATATCAGATACATGTAGAGTAGATGGATGGCACCCTTAGAAGAGAAGGGTCTAGCAGCTGGAGAGAAGTCAGTCCAGCTGGACCATAGAATGCACAGAGAGGAGGAGCGTGGAAGAGGCAGGCCGGGTCGAATTTGGGAAGTTCTCTAAATGTCAAACAGAGGAGCTGAAGTGAGAGGGGGGAGGGGTAACATGGTACTATCTGGGCTTTAGAAAGAGCTCTGCAGGTACCATGACTACTCCATTAAAAAAACGACAAATGAACAATTTTCTTAGAGAGGCCAAAAAAGGCTCAGGTGGCCTGGGGGGGAATAAAAGAGGTGGATGTGAAAAGTTTATGAAAACCCTTTTCTGCCTAAACCCATCCAGGTCAGCGGTGACTGGCAATGGTGGTCAGCGGGCGAAGGGGACGCACCAGAGATGTGTGTGCCAACAAGCCCCAACCTTCTCAGCCTCGGCTCCTCCACTGCAACGTGAAGAGGTTGGTGGACGGCCTCAGAGTCCTGTGAGCCAGATCTATGAGCTCAGGGTTCATTGGCAGCTCCTCCACTGCCCACATCCCAGCACTAGCGCTAAGCAAGATCTCCCGCCTGGTACCTCTTTTCTTTCTTCTGCTTACTAATCACTATTCTGGATTCCTACCTGTGACGGTCAGGTGTCCCTTCCTTCCTTTGGCTGATGCTGTCAGGAGTAGAACACTCAGAGCTCCAGCAGAGATTCCATGAAGCCTGGGTCCAGGGGTCTCTGCAATAACAAATACCATGGAACGCTCTATTCTTGCCCCAATGGAGCGGCGACCTCATCGGTGTGTGCACCCCCTCCAATTAAATAGATCACAGCCAGTCCACGAGCACCTGCCCTGTGTCTCTCTTGTGCACGTTTCCCATAAGTTCCCTACAGGAGCCCAACCTGCTGGGGTCTCCCTCAATTTCTTGTGATGTCATGCTTTCTACTAATTCTCCCTTGCTCTGGTCATGGTCCAGCTCATCATCTTCTCTCTCATATTTGTCTTCATTCCCTCCTTTGCCATTCCTCATGTGTAATTGAGCCCAGGCTGCTCACGCCCCCAGTGCCTTTGCGTTGCCCTCTGGGTCCCTGCTGTGGGACAAGAACTGGTAACAACAGGAGGGGCTTCCCTCTGCCGATTGCCTCCAGACATGTAGTTTCCCCTATTAGATTGTGAGCTCCTTGAGGGCAGGGACTGGCTTTTTGCCTTTGTCACTCCGGCAGCTTAGCCCAATGCCTGGCACACGGTAGGTGCTTAGTAAATATTTATTGACTGCATAGGAGTGTAAAAAGCACAGTATATGATCTGACACTGGAAGGATAATAAGAGATGCTCGTATCCCAGATACCTGGGAAGGATCCTGGAAATATTAAATATTTAAAATGTAGACAACGGTAGTGGACTGGCGGTCTAGATGGGTTATCCAGAGTGTGATTTTTCTTCCCTCAAACGTCAACATTTAGACTCCTTCCCCACTTACAGGATCATTGGCTTAGCTGAGCTGGAAGTTGGATATAGCAGAGCTGAACCTCAAACCTGGCGCCTCCGACTCCAACCCTGCCTCTGTCCTTGGTAGGAGGCTCTCAGCCACTTTCCTGCCCTGTCCCACCCCACCCTATGAAAACATAAAAATGACAGGAATTAAATATAACAATATATTGGGTTAATTATTGAAAGAAGTTGTTTCTGCTAACTATCTCCTGAGCATGGAGCTGGAATCACTGAAATGCACAAGATAAGGAGGGTGTTTGGAGGTCCATGACCTCAGAGCTGGACGAAGACTCTGTCCTTGAGCCCAGGGACCCTTGTTCTGTTCAAACTGGTGTCTCTCTCAGAGCCTAGCACGGTGCCTCGGATGGAAGGTGTGTATGTGTGTTCCCTGCAAAAGGAAGGACTTGCTATAGGAGTCCTATATATATAGTGGGCTTGCAGGGCATGACTCGAAGCCCCAGTTGGCCAGATGAGCAGAGGAGCCAGAAACAGACTGGAGCAGAGAGGAGGGTCGTGGTGGGTGGCAGCCCCCGCCGCAGGAGCATGGCTCTGCCTTCCGCCTCCTAATGTCTAGGAGCCTTTGAAAGCAGCAAGCCCTCCACCCATCAGGCAATGAGTTTAATGACACAAGCCTTGGGTGTCTCTGCCCTGGCAAAGCACTGGCTGCCTCTCGCTCAGCCAGCTTAGAGAATAGTTTGCTAACATTTTTTGAATGCTTTAAAGGGATTATAACTCAAGTTTGAAATTTTGAAAGTAATACCATGAATCCTGCAAATATTCACTGAACAGACTTTTTGTTTTGCAGAAAGTAGACTGCATCTTTACTAGTATCACATAGCCGATAACATCGAGATACAAGTAAGACTTTAAAAAGAGATCAACTCTAGAACTAAAGAAAGTAGTTACTTTTAAAAAATCCTACATATTCCTTTTAGTCTTTTGTTCTTTTAAAATTTAATCTGTTCTCCCCACTACCCTTCCCCTTATCCCTCCTCATCAAGCTAGGAAAAATACATAGCTGAAAGCCACATAAATTCCCACATTGACCTTGCCCACAAATATGTCTCTGCATTCTCTTTCAGAAGGTGAGGGGTGTGGGTCATCTTCCTTCTTTTCTATTAGTCATCTATCACTGCAGAGTTCTAAAGTCTTTCAGAATTCTTATGGGGAAGGGAGTAAGGATTTATATAACGCCTACTATATTCCAGACATCACACTGAAAGCTTTACAAATATGATCTCACTTGATGCTTAGGACAACTCTACAATATATGTGCTGTTATCATCCCTCTTTTACAGTTGAGGCAAACAGGGTAACAGACTCGCCCAGGGTCACACAGCTAGGGAGTGTCTGAGGCCAGATTGAACTCAGGTCTTCCTGACTGCACCATCTAGCTGTTATTCTTTATAATATTGTATAAAATGCTCTCATTCTGCAATTAGTTCACAAATGAAAACCATTCATTTCATCGTTTCTTATGGCACAGTATTCATATTACGGCATATTTCATTGATATACCACAATTTATTTAGTCATTCCTAATGGGAAACACCCCTTAGTTTCTAATTTTGGGCTACTATGAAAAGAGCTTCTACAAATATTTTTGCACAAATAGGTCCTTTCTTCTTTCCTTGACTTTTTTTCGGTTGTCTAGGCCTAGTAGAGATAGTGCTGGGTCAAAGGCTATGTACAACTTAGTAGCTTTGGGGCGTGGTTTCAAAGGGCTTTCTAGAATGGCTGGCCCAGTTCATAGCTGGACCAGGACCTGTTCCCCCACAGCCCCTCCAGTTTTTACTGTCTTTAACAGTCTGATAGGTTTGAGGGGCAACCTCAAAGTTGCTTTAATTTGCATACCTCTAATCATTAATTTCTCTAATCATTAATCATTTGCATTCTCTAATCATTTTCACTTGGCTGCCAATAGCTGGGTTTTCTTATTTTGAAAATTGTCTGTTCATATCCTTTGACTGTCTATTGGGGAATGGCTCTTAGTCTTATGAATTTGAAGCCATCCATAAGCATTTATTAAGCACTTACTGTGTGCTTAGCATTGTGCACAGACATCTATTCAACACTTTCTGCTCTCAAGAAGCTTACGTTCTTTCACATACACATCAAAGTAGGTACGTGTTTTCTGTCTGTCTTTTGGACTGGACTTATGATTCCACTGGCACATGGAACTCCTGGGTGAGATCTTCCTCTCCTGGCAACTTAGCGTCCTAGAGGTTGGCCTGGGACACTGGGAGGTTAAGTGACTGCCCCGGATGTGTCTGAGGCAGGACCTGAACCCAGGGCACCCCGACTCCAAGGTTGGCTCTCTGGAATAGATACTCTCATTTTGTTGTTGTTGAGTCATTCTAGTTGTATCTGACCCCATCTGGGGCTTTCTTGGCAAAGATACTGGAACGGTTTGCCATGTCCTTCTCCAGTTCATTTTACAGATGAGGAAACTGAGGCCAGCAGGGTTAAGTGACTTGCCCAGAGTTACACAGCTAGTGCTCAAAGTCAGATTTGAGCTCGTGAGAATGAATCTTCCGGACTCCAAGCACAGCACTCTGTGCACTATGGCGCCACCTAGCGGCCCTATGCATTCTCATATATAAGACAAATTCAAAGTCACGTTTTCTTGGGGGTGGGGCAGGGAAGTGGGAGGAAGCCCGGCTACAACAAAAATCCTAATCTGTCTAGCTGCTGGTATCTCTTGAAGCATTCGATAGGATCCCAGAATTAGAGCCAGAGGAGAACTTGGAGGCCAACCCCCTCATTTTACAGATGGGGAAACTGAGGCAAAGGTGGACCCTCAACTTGTCCAGAGTAACCCATCTAGTGAGTAGCTGAGATGGGATTTGACCTTAGATCTTCCTGATGCCCCGAGCAAAGTCTCCAACTTTGAGACAGCCAGAGCTGCCCCAGAGCTGAATGGGATCCCTCCCCTGACACGCAACCATCTTCCCTGAAGGTCTTCAGACAGAGCCTGGAACACCACTTACCTGTCAGAGTTCCTGTAGGGTAGATGAGGCAACCTCAGTCATTCAGGCTCAGCTTGAACACCTCTGAAGACACACGACAAGCTGTGAATTAAAGAAGTAATTAGAAATCTTTCTCAAGAGTAAATTTAGAGCCTACAATGTCATAACACAGGTGTCTGCTCTAGGAGAGTTTTGTCCCCTGTATTACAACGAAGAGGGGAAATTTCCCAAGACACAAACCCTTCCCTCCCCGACGCCCGCCCTCACCTCAAACCTCACTGCATGTACATCTTGCATTTTTTGGAGACACAGTCAACTGGGCACATTGTTATGAAAAGTGAGCTAATGGCCCTTTTGGGACAGATGCCAGGGTTGAGCTGGGCACTGCCCTTATTCCAAGGATTGTGTTAACCCAAGATGTTGTTTTTCTGCTACCCCGAGCCTGTAAAAGGCAGGACCACCTCCAACATGTTAATTTGCTCCCTGGCACTCAGTGACACGATGCCCGTTTGGTTTCCGTATTTGTGAATGGGATTTTTTTCCTCTGGCAGAGCCACTCAGCTGGGATACTGGCCACCAAAGTACTGCCAAGAAGGAACCTGGGACTTCTCTATTTGGTCTCTATTTATCTTCTGAATCTGCTCCAGGGACCCTGAAGATCGGTTTGGCTCCATCGTGAAGGTAGGACTGAGATATGCAGGTCCCCCAGAGGGAGAGCGGACAGGGGCACGAGGAGGCTTCAGGCACATCCCGGGGCTCTGGGGGACCAGGATCCGTCTGGGTCTCAAGCAGTGAAAGGAGAAGGAAAGTGATTGGTGTGGGATTGGTAGCCTGGTCTTACTTATCACGTTTGACCCCCTGTAGTTCAGATCTAACTTCGGCACTCTGGGGTCTGTCCAGGAAAGCCGCCATGCTCCTCATAAGAGAGCAAGACCATCGCAGAGAAACGTACCCTGCAGGAAATCCTTCCCTTACATGTAGATGAGGAAACAGAGATCCAGAGAGTGAAGCGACTGATCCCAGGTAGAGCTGAGATTTGAACTCAGTACACAGGGCCTCCAAGCAGCTCCGTCTTCCTATCCTCCCTTATCACCCCCCTTCCCCTACCAACTTAGAATCTTCTGCCCAATTTTCCCAGAGTTCTCTGGCCCTTGACCGCCTGTGTGGTTGCTTCCTGGGCCTCTGGGAAAGGAGGGAGTGATAGTGGACGGCCTTTACGGATCTTTCTACTTCTGCATTCTATTAACTTTATTTTACCTTTTATTCTCCGGCACCTCACTCGACTCCTTGCACACTGAAAATTTCTAGACTCATGATTTCATCCACGTGGGGAATTCCTGATGTGGAGATGCTCTGTGTGTATGGATACCAGCAACTTGTTCACTCAGAGGTTTAGAGAGTTGCTTGGGGACGGGTTGAGTGACTTGGCCAGGGTCCACAGCCAGTACAGTCTGGACTGGACTTGAACTCAGGTCTTCTGACTGGAGGGTCTGCTCTCTCCGCTACATCTCACTAACTCTCAGCATAATAATGGCGAGCCTCTGTACATCCTACAAAGTGCTTTCCAACGACCTGAGCCTCCCCCAGGAGGTACCAGGTGACTCACTGAGGCTCAGGAGGAAAGCTGAAATGTGGGTCCCTCTGCCTGGGAACCAACGGAAAGCTTCCTACACTTAGACAGAGGCCAGTAAGTGCTGTACAATAATGAGGAGGGGGCGAGGAGGAAGATGATGATGATGAGGAGCAGGAGGAGGAGGAAGAGGATAAAACTACCTCACAGAGTTGTTGGGAGGCTCAGATGAAAGGATGCCTGTCAATCTCTGCATAAACTGTAAGGCACCATGTGGACGTGAACGGCCCCTGCAACTCCCGCTGCCATTGACATGGCCCTTCCAGGCTAGACAGCACATGACATTAGTTAGGCATCCTTACAACTCCCCTGGGAGGTCGGCATCAGGGCAGGCATTATTACCTTCATTTTATAGATGAGGAAATCAAGGTTCTTTGATGACTCTGTGCATTTCCCCTGCTTCTCACACTTATCCTAATCACTTTACTGCCTACAAATGAGAGCCTGTGCGTAAGGCAGATTGCAACCCAGAGGCGCCGTCGAGAGGTCGGTCATTAGTATCATTGTCACTGAGGCATCTACCTTTACTTATACCATCCCCGGCCTGCTAGGTTGTGCAATGGTTAGAGCGCTGGGCCTGGAGCCAGGAAGATTTGAGTTCAAATCCAGCCTCAGACTTACTAGCTGTGTGACCCTGGGCAAGTCACTTCATCCTGTTTGCCTCAGTTTCCTCATCCGTAAAATGAGCTGGAGAAGGAAATGGCAAACCATTCCAGTATCTCTGCCAAGGACCATTTTGGAGCCTCCATTAATTGAGGCAGCTGAGTGGCAGAATGAATAGAGCTAGGTACTTGGGGTCAGTTTGAATCAAGCCTCAGGTACCTACCCAGGGTCCCTTCTGGCTCCGTGATGCCATGATCTCATCACTTACCCCATCTGCAAGGCTGGTCCCTTCCTAGCTTTAGCTCTGAAAGGCTTCTCATCTCTACTGGCCTAGGCACAAACGTGCTCAGCCATGGCTCTGGGTACCACTTTGCCCTTTGTCAGCAAAGGAAGCCATAGCGACACTCTGGGAATAACACCAGAGGCCCTATCAAACTCAGAACGACGCTTTTGGGCCCTCAGCTCCTAGAGTCAGAAGCAGCCCCTCACCCCCTGCTCTGGGGGACGCACAGACTGGACAGCCCTGGAAGGGAAGGGGTCGAAATGATGCTAGGACCTGGGAGCCGCTGGGGGCCAACCCAACCCCTACGACTGAGCCCAGGCTGTCGCTGCTCCCAAATGCCCCTTTGTTTCATTCTCCTTTAAATCCGACCATGGTGGGGGGGAGCACAATGGGAAGATGCCCCCCATGGCTTTGAGTCAAACCCTTAATTTTATTTGAATATAGTTTTTTGTGGTTTAATTACTGCCATTTTTCTTTCTTTCTTTCCCTCTCTCTTTTCTAAAGGCTTCCAGATTGCCCGGTAATTTTTATCTCTGTAGATTAGACCAAGAGTCCATGAAGAAACAGTCACATAATTAAGGACGTGTCCAACTCTTCCATCTCGTGTCCATCTTCCCTAACTAGGGAGGAAAAGTGGCATTTTCTACATTCTAATCATACATCCCAGGCTTCTGGGCTTTCAGTTGAGACAAATATTTTCTGCTCAAAATCAGCTGCAATCAGTTTGATGACAATCAGGTTAATCTAGGTGGAGGTGGCAGAGAGACGAAGAAATTCATTCCCAACTCCAACATTGTCCTCAGAAACTTTGGCTGAACGTCGAGGGGGAATCTTTCTCATCAAGGCCAGGAACAAATGACCACCATTTTGCTTGGACTTCTCATGGCAGCCTTTCCCAACTCCAAGGGAGAGACCAGCCCCTTTAATTTTCTGGCTTCTATGAGAGTCTTCCGGCTCATCTGTGTTCTTGAGAGAAACTCAACTATTCCAGTGGATCTGTGATCTCATTAGTATGGATGCACAAAGCTCATTCGTGTCCTCTCATAAATTTAACATTGGGACCTTTATCTCAACATCATGAAAGTACCAAGGGAGCAGAGGGACACTCCGTCCACATGTGTCCCTCACTTTTCTCATGACCTGCCCATCTTCTCTTCTTACCATACTTTTCTTTGACAGTATCTTTGGCAGCTAGTAGCAAAATAGATGGAGAATTGAACCTCAAGACAATAAGACCTGAATTCATAATCTGCCTCCGATGCTAACTAGTTGTGTGACCCTGGGCAAGTTACTTAACCTTGGTTTTCTCAACTGTAAAATGGGGATAATAACAGCACCTACTTCCCGGGGTTGTTGTAAGGGTCAAATGAAATAATATTTGTAAAAAAGCACTTAGCACAGTGCCTAGCTTACAGTAGGTATGGTATAAATGCTTATTCCCTCCCTCCACTCTTCCCTTCCATATAGCAACTCCAAGATAATGTTGGTATCTAGGAGGTGGGCCTTTATTTTCATGGGAAACTTGGGTATCTCTAGATAAACTCTAGAAAGCAAGGCCCATCCATGTGCTCAGCTGAATAACCTCACATGGCTCTACCCACACCCACAAACCCTGGGACTGAGGAAAGTCTCCATTTCAGTAGGTAGCAGTTAAGAAGATGGCCTGGCTCACAAAGTGGTGAGAAGCCAGAGTTGGCAGTAGGGGAATAGGCCCTGCACTAAAGGGCCTCACATTCTAACAAGGGAGACGAGAAGCATGAATAAAAACCAAGTCACGTTTCTATAGCGCTTGAAGGTTTGTAAAGGGCTTTTCACCTGTGATCTCCTTTGGTGTGAGTGTGTGTGTATATATGCATATATGTATGTATGTATATGTATACATGCATATACACACAGTGTGTATATGTATACACACCAAATGAGAGATAGATCATGCAGATATGATATATAGATATACCTGAGAGAGCATTATTTTATGCAATATACATATAGGGTCAAATGAGGTAGCATATATGTTGTATAACACACGTGATTGAATGAGATGGCATATATTATATAATACATATATAATACATGTGATCAAATTAGCTGTCGCTTATGTGACCCAGCACACCAAATGACATGTTATATGATACATGTTTGAGATCACATAAGTTTCATAATACATACGTACTCAAATTAGATGGCATGTATATGCTATATAATATGATCGAATGAAATACTGTGTGAACTCATTTGATCATATATGTGTGTATGTGTATATATATATATGTATACACACACACACACACACACATACATTTGCTCATCTATACACACACAAGCCACAGACGTAGGGAGCTATAAGACAGACCCAGAGCCGTCTGTCGGAGGTAACCACAGAAGGGGCTCTCCCCTTAATTAAGGCCTTTAATCAGTAGCTGGTTGTACAGAGCGCAGCCCACACCATCCCCACCCTAGGACAAGGGCTTAGGCTTTGGGGAGGGAGGAAAAAACCGACAGGAGCAAACACAGTAAACGTGGGTCTGTCCCGGGGCAGGTATTCCTAGGCATCCCTGAGCTTGGCTGCCGCCAGCCCCAAGCCTGTTTCTCCCCCTAAACGTCAGTGCAGAGGCAAAGCCCCTCTGTTTCCATCAGCACAGTCCTAAGACAGAGAAGTCCCT